TGAAATTAATTTTCTATCCGTTTGCCCAGAGAATAGTTTAATGGAATCGCCATATGAGTGATTAATTCATCATGCGTATACTGGTTCGGCTCTTTAACACGTGTATCCAGCGGCTACAACGTGGAGTACTGCCCCATATCAATTTCTTTTTTCTGCGTAAGGGTGAAGAAAGAGACTCCTGTCCAAATGGTACCAGCCAGCTGCTCCGGCCTCTCTTGGAGAAAGCCTGGAAGACGTCGCAGCTAGACATACCAAGTACTTGTGGTTGAAACACCAGGCATACTCCCACCTACTCACAATGATAGATGACTCACTGCACCAAAATAGCATTTAGGCAAGAGGTGGCCCAGCGATGTTGCTACCTAGGCTCGATGCCTAGGCTAGGGAGACGAGGGGCTTAGCCCACAAAGCAGCTAGTCGAAGCACCGACAAAAAAATATGGCGCTTTAATATGGCGCTCTAAAATTGTCAAACGCATCGCTACCAGATCAATCATACGGGTCGAATTGGGCTGGAGCCTTCATTGAACAAGACCAACCGGGTAGTTCACTCTCGAAACGCAACAGATAGTTAGGTGGATATCCGGAGGTCGGAGACACCATAACCCGCCAAGATTCGGCAGGGATCAGAGCCCACCCAAAGAATTAACTAGCCGCAGCCGCCTTTGGTTTCCGAAGAGGCGTCTGGACATTCCTCGACTACGGAGCCAACAAACCTCTTTCCTTGTACCGCCACCTGCGACACTCGAAGCATAAGTGATGAATTATTGGGCCCTGTATATCAAAGTTTGGGAATCCCACAATGTAGGACTTTTCTAGTCCGAAGATAGCGCGCAGCATGAACTCCAGGGACCCGCTTTGCGGTTACATAGTTAAGTGGTGAAACTCAAAGCGGCCAGGTCAGCACAGCAGGTTGGAAGCAGCAGAAAGAGGCGTGGGCATGGCCAGAAAACTTAACAACAAGGAAGCTGTCGAGATAGTGTGCAGTCGGATCGTGAGGCTGGCTTTCTTGGTGGTGGCAAGTAACGTGATAAACCCACTGAACGAATCCGAGGAACATTAAGGCTGATGGCAGAAGTTGAAAAGGGGCAGATCAAGTTGAAAGAGATGGTAGGAAAAATTCCTGGCTTTTACTATGACTTCGAGTATACTCCATCTCTGCGGTCGTATATCTTCCTTTATTTGTCCTTCACTTTCACCCATTTCTGCATATATTGTGGGACTGACGGCTTTCAGGGCGTTTTGATACTATTTTGGACTGATTTTTGGGCCGATTTCTTTGGCGATACGCCGTTTTCCTATGTATTTACTGTTTCATGCGCGGGTCTGGCGTTCGGATCACTCTTGTTTCCGCCGAATGGAGCGCCTGAGTCAGGCTGCAACAGGTTAAATAGAGCGTTGCTTGATCGATTGATTGATATTACCTTAAAGCGGCCGAGGCAAAAAACCCGTAAAACGAAAAAGGCCAAGCCCAATACATATAACCAGAGCCCACAATACAATAGTTGCAAACGGTACTCCAAGCTCACTCCCATCGGGCTCCAAAAGACTCCTCGATCCCTTCAACCGAAAAATGCTTCTCTTTAGGCCTTCTCTTGCCACATAAGGCTTGCGAACTTATTGTCGAGGTTTTTTTTCAATTTTATACGCAAAGGCCTTAGGAGCAAGCGTGGGCCCGTCCATAACATGATTAATGCCTGACATCGTGCTTTCGCTGGTCACTCCCATGGTACCTGGTGTCTCGGGTATATAGCCAACCGAAAACGATCAACTCTCCCGGTAACAGTATTACTGCATCGCGAGATAATGGCCTGAATTTGTCGGCGTATGTGCCGCAGATTGTTTTGTAATGATTCCTTCCTGTGCAGAATGAAAAGCCATTCATCTTCTTCTCTCTCAGTTGCTCGAATACTTTGGCGTAGTCGAAACTCCACCCAATGCACCGGATCTGATATGAGAAATGCAGATATGTAGAAAAATATGTCATCAGTGGATGTTTGGGGAGATAATGGATCCGGTCCCGGCCAGATAAAGCAGTGGTCGCTCTCATGGGCGGGATAAAAAATGCAGTCGACAGGAGTGCAGAAATTCACGGCTGTGACGGTATAAGGTGGTAAGGAGCGACCACATGCGAGGCTAGGAGGCGGCGTTGGAATGTCAGAGAATTCTTTCCACAGTTGCTCAAGGTCAAGCTCTAGATGACAGTCTGAAGCCAGTTAGCTAGTTTGTCGTTGATTTCACCAGGGAGCCGGACCTACCTAATCCCACTGAATCTTTCATCTTCCATTAACTTCTATCGATGGTATGGTGGGACCTTGCGATCAGACACTTCTAAAGTACAAGGGGAAGTACCCTGTCATGAATGTAATGGGGATAGTCTCATTTTATAAGAGGTAGACTTGATTTGGTCAGATTTTCCATTGAACAAAGGTTTGTACATTGCATTTTGGAAATTATACTCCATGAGAATCTAGTGAGCAGATATGATTGGACAATTTGCCACACGGATAATTCCATCATACCACATAACACCTAAACTAAATCTCGTCCAATATTACGCACTTTAATCTGGCATCTGAAAGCATCAATTTAATTCAATTACTATTCCAAGGTTCAACCTTTTTCAAATCTTTGGAACGCTTCACATCACTCGATCAGCCTGTTCATTCCAATATAACGCAATACGTAGTGTTTGCAACTTCGAATTCCCTCTGTGGAATGAAAGTGTTCGTCAATCGAACAATCTCCAACGAACCTTGGTTTATGTTAGCGTTACTTAGATATCGTAGGACTTCGATGAGAAGTGAGCAAAAGGATTCCATTATCGTATCAGGAAAATTTGTTCAGTCAGTGATTGATTCATAGCATCTACATGTGCTGTTGGAATGAATTATCGGAGTTTGGAATTTAGAGTTCCTGCCGAACCATGCGATAACTTGGGTCACCCGATTGCCAGCTTCAATTCGAGCGGGCCATTGAAATAAGCTCTTTCAAGGGTAGCTCGCAAAGTCAAGCGAGTATTAGCGAAGGCCTTAATTCTGTGGTAAGTCCTAGGCAGTCTACTCGCTACTAATTCAAAAATATAATATACTCTACATCATGGGAGACTTTTTGAATATCTTACCACAAATATTAATGTGTTAGTAGTGCTGGGACAGTCAACCGATATACTCCCCAACCTTCCAGACAGTATATGGGAAGTTGAAAAAGGAATGAGAACTACGGAAAATAAGTTTAATTACGTTGCAGTTTATTATCAATTTGCCAAGCTAAAGCACCTACAGCTCCTAGGAACCGATGGCTACATCGCTCAGGAATTCCCAGAAGCTCTCATAGCGATCACGATAATTTTGATCTCCATTTACTACAAGTATGCGTATTCCTCTAGTCCTTACTTCAGATAATTAACCTTTGTACTCGTTATGGCTGTCCCTGCGCTTATGCATCCTATTTTAGACGCGATGATTATTCCAATTGTCATGACAAGGCTGGTATTCTATGGCCGCACTTTTCGAGAGAATCGACGATACCAGATTTTAGACGCCATACTTTCACTATTCAGTCTCTCTTTGCTTTTAGTGCTTGTTGCACTGGGTTGTATGGGGGATTACGAAACATGTCAGGCAAAATATTCAAACTTCATCGCTTGGAACGCTACTGACAGAGTTTCAACAGGTCAGCAAGTTTTGCTCGCCATTATTGGAATCTTCCCTTCTTTAATTGAGGTGCGCATTTCCCGCGGACAACAGTCGGCGAGGCCAACTGACACCCCTTTGACTAGTATCTGCGATTAAAAACGTTACTAGCTCTGCCAACTTCCAGGCCTGGGACTTTGTGTGCTGTCCTGGCAGCGGTCTCATGCTGCGCAAAACTAATGTTTGGCCTTCTTGGTATTTTTTCCGGCTTGCCTATGAAATACGGTCTATGCACTCTTATTGTGGTCGATTATTTGTGTATTGTCACGTGGTATTTTTGGCTTGCTCGGCGAACCATTGCCGGGCATTTGGGCCGAGCAAAGTTGGAATCGGGCATACAACGCACGTGTGCAGTGATCCTTCTTCTCGTGACCATCGCAATTCCAGGTGCCGTTTTGCACAGCTGGCGTTTGTCCGTTGAAGTAAGTAAAGTCACTTTAGCTCATATATAACCGTTGACCAGGCTTTCAAGTCTCAAGTTATTGTATCTTCAGCATGGTCTCTTCGACATGTACTCGATTTGAAATCAAGAAGCTCCGCAGATGACTTCTCCTGGCCTGGAAACCGTGACGATAATCTTTTCCCTGCTAATTCACGATCCACGACTTACCACTCTATGATTTATGGCATTAATAATGCGTCATGATATCGTATAGTAGAAGAGATGTATTTTGTCTGATTTTGCTATTGAAGTCCACGGGAGCACTGTGATCTAGGCATTCTTCTATGACAAGAGGGGATATACATAAAGTCAACACTATTCAATCAGGATGAATGGTTAATATACGCTTGTTTGCCTTGCAGAGAGGATTTTAAGCAAAAATTGCTTGCCTCACGGACACATGCTGCTAGTTCCTCGCGCTGTAGCCGAAATAATAACAGTCATATTCAGACGATGTGGTAATGTATATCCACTTTAATGTGTATCCAATTAAGATGAACTCATAATTAGCAACTTACAGATTAACGAAAACGCGATGGAGATTGTTTTAGTTGCAATCAGACAAGCTAGTTGCGTGTATTCCAGTTCCTGTAAACTGTTTTCGGAACTCGTTCTGTATACAGTAGTGACGGGACTGATAAAAGAAGACGCGGAAAAAGGGTGAGAGTTTGGATCAGCGTATTTCGTCCATAGGGTTCTCAATCGTCCCCAAAGTTGGATGGATGGGGTTACTCTCCCCTTCACTGAGAACGCGCACAACTTCCTCGCGCACTTTAAGAAATATCTTTGCATAGCAGACTAGCAATGCTTCCTGATTAGCTTGCCGACGTTCCATAATATCTAATTTTTGACATAGTTGGGTGTTGGCTGCCCGGATGATCTCATTTTCCTTCTCAAGGTGTAATATGCGTGCTCCCTTTGCAGCGTAACTCTCCCAAAGCGCTGAATAGGGTCTCAAGGTCTCAGTCGTATGCTGTGCCCGTTGAGGGTCATCTTGACTCAATTCCCCAAACTCTTCAACGAGCGGTTGGAATGTGTCGTGTAGGGCTTGCGTCGGGTTGTGTTGTGGCAAGTTAAGTGCCTATCATCACATATTAGCAGAGCACCGGATTCTGCCGTCCATACTTACCATCCATTGGGCGGCACTCTGGTCCGAATGAAACGAAAAGAGGTCGTCATTGTCTGGTGGTGCGGCTGGTAACCCATGCTGGGCTTCAGCCATCTCGGACTCGGGTTTCTGGGTAGTGCTTGCCATTTCGATTTGGATAAATCGGCTATGAGGGTTCTTTATGTCGATTTTTTGACCTAGAAACACCGATCAAGAGACCGTTTTCTAATACTGACTGGATAGTGGCCGTATTTAAGGGTGGTGTTGGGCTTATTCAACGAACTGTTTGGACCTGTTATAATAGAAAGCGAGATATTGCTTAATTCTCCCCTTTTACAGGTTTATTTACTATTCACTGTGGAATTCTTCTATTCGGCGGTTTGAACAATACCCAAAGCTCCTTCATGATCTTAGCTTTAACTGGCAAAGCATGTTGGTATCTTTGCACCATTACTGAGATACTGAAATCGTGGGAGACGAATTTCAGTGCTGGTTTTCATTTTTTGAGAATAATTCCCATTCCCTTCAAAAACAAAATCGGGAGTGCTAATTGCTCCTCTAACGCGCAAATATCGATGGTGGCTGAAACGCTCAGGTTCATGGCAGGACAAGGTTGACCAACACAAAATGGAGTCGGTGTTACCTAGCACCACGACATGGCCGCCGAGCATGAGCTCGGTAATTTCAATGGTTCCCAATGGAGCAATTTAAGTGGGGACTATATATTTCACATCGTGGATTTTGCTAGGTCAACCCGTCCTGCGCCATACTCTAGACTAGGCTACAAGCACTCCAATTTGACACTATATTATGAATGGCATTGGCCTCAACTACAGAGAAGCCGAACTGGTCCTTTGATATACAGGAAACATTCTGAGACTTTACATTACAGTACTAGCACAGTTTTATTCTTTCAGCTTTCTTACCATGCAAACCTGGAATAGATTTTGAATGATTGAGTAGCCGTATGATGGTAATATCTCTCAATTTCTCGATATGGAAAGCAATAACAGTCGCTACCATAGACCAGCGGTAGAGGTGATCTATTGTCGTGAACAGAATACCAAACCTGGGTTTACTTTAGGGGTGTCGCTAATTGGCTCACTCATGATGAAGTGTGGTTCTAGACTAATATGTTGTCATTGGATGATGTTCGCTTCTGGTTACACCTCTACATTCGAAGTATAGCACTCGGACATCTGATCGAATGCCCTAACATTAGGCCGTCTTCTTGCCAGACCAGCCTTTCCCCGCAGCTTCTCGAGAGATTTCTCTAGGACGCAAGCAACGAAGCAAGTCTTCGCGTGTCTTCTCTTTCGTGAAATCAATTCTCTTTGACTTAACACACGAGCGGGCTAGCCGGTCTGGGATGGGATAGAACGCCGTTGCCACAGACTGGGGGTTTTGGCGTGGATGGCGCACCGGCCGATCGGTCAGCCGGCTTGATAAATGAGAAGAACCGCGTTTGATGTTTCTCGTGACTCTCTTTGGCTGCCGCCGATGACAAACCGTGTTATTGGGTATACAGATCGCATGCGGGTAGTGTGCTACGGAAGACACCCCGCCTGGCGTTTTCTGTTGTGAGAGGGTCGCGCCATTTGTGCGTGTATGAAGCTTATCAAGTAGGCGAGGGCAATGGACAGGATCATGGAAGTTATTTATGGAGAGTGAAGTCGGATATCTTGTATCGCTTTGCGACGCACCGGCGATTCTAATTCTGTCCTCGACAAATAGGATAGTTTTATTTAGACAATGTCTAAAGCTTTATCAAGGACTCAACACCAAAAAAATTGGTATACAATATGTTTGGATACCATCAATTCCTCGCTAGATCTCATCATAGGTTGCTTTGACACGTGGTGGTGAAATCTTTCTGCATAGACAAAAAAGCCCGCAAGATTTGCTTGACATTTTGTTGTTATGTGACCAGGCCGGTACTGAAAAGACCAACTTAATTTCCTCATCCCTGCAGGAAGTAAATTACGCAGTCAATCATCAAGAAGGGGTTAATAGGCTCGAGAGGCACTAAAAACATGCATATTTTTGGAATTGGAGTGCATGCTTCATGCTTAAAGTGAATACTGTAATCGGCTAAATTGCATGGCAAGCCACAAGATATGGAAAGATGGCAGATATGAACACCATCTTAAACATGTACCGTACAAATGAATTTTGAACTCAGTCAATCTTCTCTTATATATAGGATATTGTACAGTGCCGACAAAGTAAGAACAGCATCACTCTTCAGATATAAACAAGGATGACCTTCACAAGTAACGAACGGCGTGCTCAGCGCAGGCAGCAATGCCGTGAGGCTCTGGCAACTCACATCTGTGAGCGAATTCCTTGAAAAGAAGGTCCGAGTTTTGTGACTGACAAAGGTATATTGTCCAGACCAACGACTGGGCCTCGTCGTACCCCCAAGCCTGGTGCGACTACAACCATCGGCGGAGGATGGCTACGCGTGGTCATCCTCCAAAGCAAAGGAATATCTGCTGAAAACGAACCTCGGCCGTGGCACGGTCGGCTTATATCAAGACATAATACATGAACTGGGTCGGTCACTTGAGGCTGTGACACCGCAAACTCTTCACACAAACAACGCAGGTGAAGACGGTCCATCAACCGTAGAGGTGAGACCCACATTTCATTCATTCATGCCCTAGGGCATAGAAGAATAACAAGATGTAATGTTGTCTGCCCCAGAATCCGGAAAATGATTCAGAATCCTTCACAGCGACAATTCAGCGATTAGAGTGGGAAAACAAGAAACTTACTGATCAAATTGGGGAGCTCCGAAGAAGCGAACAAGAGACACGAGCAAAGTTTCATCATCTCGAGGAGGAGCTTGAATATTACAAAACCCACATTGACCGGTCAAGGATGGAGTTGCTCCGGGCCAGAGGTGGCATTGCTGAAGCCTTGGTAGTGTTGCAGCAATGCCAGTCCGGAGAAGAAACAGTTTGAGTAGAAATATACAAAGGTTCAACGAATTGAAAGTACAGCTTGTTGCGCAGTAGCATGATGAATCGATACTACACGTTGCTACTGTATCAATCCGTAGGCTATTGTTCAGACCATGTTGGATACCGGATAGTTCGCCATTACTATTTAGATTTTGCGCCAACCATGGTCTACCTCAAAAGAGGAATGCCCGCCGTGTGAGACAATCAAGCCAATGAGTTGATTATCCCTCACTACGGTCCACCATGGATTGTGGCGTATTAAAGCAAAGTGAATGGCAAACTCTGTTCACGATCGTTTTAAGCATATCCAAAACGTGACACTCTCTCGCTTTCCAACTTCGCGTGCCTTCCTTCAATGACTTTTAGCGGAATGAAGGAGGATAAGTCCTGGGAAAACTACCAACCTGGCCACAGGTCCTATGTTCAGTGTCTGAAATTCCGAAGGAGTGATCTTCCGGAGACGGGGCGCGGGATCTTCTCGTCCGCTGCATCTCAACGATATCAGCTTGAATAGCAGACGGAAGAAGCGTCGTCCGTGTACAAAATTCTTCTTTCCGCACTGGGTAGATTGTCGACTGGTCCGTCAATGCTAGGTTGAGTTTCCGTGAGAGTATTTGGGCACGGTGGACATGAATCGGATTTGCCATTATAAATTGGCATTGAGGGAGATAGGTGCCTCACGAATTTGCTAAAAAAGACTGGGTGTATAAGGATTTTTATATGAAGGAGGTATAATCTGGTGGCTTACAAAATTCTATAGACAATACCTGCATCGCAAATATTTGGCTTTACCAACTCTCTTTGAATTCTCTTATGCTGGGTATCTTTATTTAGTCTACTTTTGAAAGTTTGCTTCATAATCTAGATTGTTAATTGTGAATGCACTTCGTTGGGGCTGTATTTGCCCAACTAGCAAGTGATCAATTCCAGGAGGTCATTTACTAATATGAAAATTCTCTGATGATCTTCTCCCTACTAGAAGCCATTCCTGCTGCTGGAATTTTCGCCACCGCTTTCCGATTTTGATAGTTGCGTAACGTGCTTCATTACCATGTCGAAAATTGCATCGATGATCTACGCTATGGATCCCCCGCTTCCATTCATTGCTGTTCCAGGAGATATCCCATGACTGCACTTATCTTACTATCTGTTTCGTAAATGATCTCCACCACTTTTGCAATACCATCCAACTCATGATCGGCTGACGCGCCCTCGTCAGCTCTTCTTGTTGAGATCTTCCTGTGATCCATTCTACTCTAACAGCGCGTGTATTTATAGTTGCCATGGTCCGGAGGAATTTCCTGAAGCGTTATCATAGAAGCTGTGCTGGATGGCCAGGATTGTACATACCGGGTTATTAACAGTTGTGGGCTCTAAGGGATTGATCATTGAGGAAAAGGCAAGACGTGTCGAGAGGAGAGGACTATGGCTGACGGGCAGAGTATTATGATAAGGGGGTTCATGAGTACTCCGCAGGCACAGTACTATACGCAAGTAATCCTAGCCACTATATTGAAAGGTCTGGTGCCGAGTAAGCCCCCAACTTCCTCACTTAGGTATAGGAGTGGTAGAGGGCAGTGTCGGGTCGCCAGATTCTCGAGGCATTTCACCTAGGAATGTTGTAGCTTCGAAATTGACTATCCCATTTCGAGAATATTTCAAAGTATCGATTTTAATATCGATGAAGATCCGCAAATTTATTAATTAATTGGGCTTGTTTACCTATTCTGGTTAGCAAAAATTTCAATTTGACCAAACATCCCTAAATCCACAGGTCCATGCAAACAGGTCAAACAGTTGAGGATGCCTCGAGAACCTGTCGAGCTGCCACTTCCTTTTTGTCATTCCATGACCCGGTGTCAGCCTAGGGAGTTAACTCGGCACCCTAGATTATGAGTAGCGGATTGCATTACTTGTTCCGCTGTAGAGTACCCATGAACCTGCTTCTTATAAGCCCCAGCGTGTTAGACACCTAACCTGTTAGACATAGCTCTTTTTATGATATATCCTGTCCAAAGCTTATTTACAGATTGTGCCTCAGATCAAGGGAATATGTCACAGTCGGTGGATACCAGGAGGAAGGAAATGGTACATACCCTCCAGGAAAAAACACGCGACAGCTGTATGACCGATTATCGTGGAAAGAGGCGAGCGTGCTGGCCTAGCCCCGCAAGGGTATTGCAAGACTCAATGAATATCTCTTTCGAATCAATGCCGCCGAGACAGATCAATGTGCATGTGGACAAGCGAGAGAGACGGTGGACCACTTTCTCTTTCGATGTCGGAAGTGGACCGCGCACCGGACGGAAATGCTGCAATGTACCCACACTCACCGAAGTAATATCTCCTTCTTCTTGGGTAGAAAATCGCCCTCGGATGACCGGAAGTGGACGCCCAATTTGGATGCAGTGCGAGCATCAGTGCGGTTTGCCATCGCTACGAGCCGACTTGAGGCCACTTAACCTTGCCGACGAACGGACAAAATACCCCCTCTTACTAAACCCAACCCCTTGTGACAGACGGTAGACGCGCTTCAACTGCCGAAGATAGGATGTTGAACACTTGAAGAAGCGCCTTCAAGCCAGTCTACTAACCAATACTAACCCACAGGGATCTGCTATGAGATTTGAAATTGAAATGGCAAATACGGAAGGAAATACTGTATGGGCTCCAAGGAGACACGGGTTATACCCAAACATGCATGTACTGGTAGATTAGTGATAATTGCCCTTTCGGCTCAGCCGCCAGGCGTTAATGAATTGTGTGTGTGTGTAAGTTTACATCCTGTAGAACACAAGGAACAGTTTAACCGCCTCAGAAGCTTGAGCATCACCGCTCAAAAACCACATGATAGCGACATATCTACGAAACTACTAGCTTCTAATACCTTTAGGTGTTGTATAAAGTAGAAGCATTCCTTCTCTTCATCAAACTTACAACTATGTCGTGTTGCACGCATCTAAGCATAAGCTGAACTTATACCTTTCGGCAAGCCGTAACGTAATTCCCGCCCGACCGAGACACCCGGCCGCCCGAGACACCACATCTAAAACCTCGCATTCTTACCAACCTACCTAATTCAACCACCTACCATGCCACCAATTCGCACTGAATCTCGGCAGAAATCGGCTAATCAAGAGGGTAGGATCTTATTAGCCCTCTCCGACCTAAAAGATGGCCGCATCAAATCTATTCGCGCGGCAGCGAAGCTATATAACCTACCACTATCAACACTACACGATCGCGCTAGCGGACGTATTTCACGCGTTAATAAGCGCCCATCTGGTCATAACGTAATTCCCGCCCGACCGAGACACCCGGCCGCCCGAGACACCCTCCCCTATCAGAATACTTCAAAATCTATTATCTCAACCAACAACCATTAATTTAACTAGATAAAGCGATTTTTACATACATTAATCCTGTGACTAATCTCCCTGCACCTACTACACCTAGGTGGTGCCCTCTTTGCTGGCATAATTGGCTGACTAGGCAATTTAACCTCTGCATGCGAATCTACCCTATCATCTTCCTCTGGCTGGTCTAGCTGCTCAGCTAGCTGTATAGCCTCTTTAATGGTTAAACCCTCTGCGCAGGGTATCCTCTTAGTTGACCGATTGCGCTTTTTGATTATCTTCTTATTCGCTATGCGTAGATTCTCGTTATCCTCTGCGAGTAATATAGTGTTGTGAAGCGAAAGATAGTGGCCCTTGATAAGTTGATCTAAGATGGTTTTCGATGGGCTTGGAGGGCTATTTGACTGTTGTTTTAGTAGATCTTTTAGTATTGAAGCTTGTTTGAATAGCTGAGTGACGGTTCTAGGCGTTTTTGGTGTGAATTGGCTAGATCTGCTGCTTGGACGGCTGCTTGGTGGTGTTGGTGTTCGTGAGATATTAAGCTTGTTAAGCACTCTCTCGGCATCTAATGGTACTAGACCACTAGCTGCGAAGCTGTTTTTGATAGTGGGATTGGTTGATTAGAAGGCTTCTAACCGCGCGTGCTTGTAATCCACTAAAAAATCGTGCTTGTCGATATGGTTATATCCTCTACGCGCAAGGTCGCTAACGAACCGACCGTACGCGCGCTTAACCACTGCAAAACACCCAACATCTAGTGGCTATAGTAGATGCGATGAATGTGCAGGCATACAGAGTGGTATAACATCGTTTTCTGCACAGATTCGGTCGAATTGGGGCGTAAGGTGGCTACTATGACCGTCAAGAATTAATAGCCGAAACCGACCTCGTACGCGCGAATTCGTGTGTGGGATAAAGTGCTTTTCTAGCCAGCGTAGGCCAATCTCATCGGTAGTCCAGCCATTCTTTGAGACCTCGATTCGCCAGTCTTTCGGTAGGTTTTCGTTAAACCATCCTGCAATAGCCACTTTGCCTTTGAAGACTACACATGGCGGTAGTGAATAGCCATCTGCGCAGATTGCTTCGATCGCAGTAACCCATTCGCGATTTCCTGGTTGTAGAAGAGATCTCCGACCGTAGTATTCAGCTCGTGTGACTACTTTCTGCGAAGATATAAGGCCCATTGCGAAGCCTGTCTCATCAAAGTTGTAGATATCGTCTGGTTGTATACCGTTCTCGTCAATCGTACTTTGTACGGTCGCAAACCACTGCCGAATCGATTTTGGATCTTCATTTAGGGCTCTTTGATAATCATATCTTCGTGAGAAGCGTGTACGAAGCTCAGGACGGCGGTTAATGAAGGTTGATGGCCAATTCTTTCCAACGGTAGATAGAGAAGCTTCTTCGCGCGCAGCCAATAGGATATTAGCCATCTCTCGCACCGTAGAGGGCCTAGGGGCTGCTCCACGCGTATCCATAGAGATTATCCACTCAGTAAGCGAATCCTCTTCAGTTTAGGTCAGTTTATGACCAGATGGGCGCTTATCAACGCGTGAAATACGTCCGCTAGCGCGATGGTGTAGTGTTGATGGTGGTAGGTCATATAGCTTCGCTGCCGCGCGAATAGATTTGATGCGGCCATCTTTTAGGTCGGAGAGGGCTAATAAGATCTTACCCTCTTGATTAGCCAATTTACGGCTAGATTCAGTGCGAATTGGTGGCATGGTAGGTGGTTGAAGTAGGTAGGTTGGTAAGAATGCGAGGTTTTAGATGTGGTGTCTCGGGCGGCCGGGTGTCTCGGTCGGGCGGGAATTACGTTAGTTAAACTAAGTTAACCTAAACCGAAGAGGACTCGCTTACTAAGTGGATAATCTCTATGGATACGCGTGGAGCAGCCCCTAGGCCCTCTACGGTGCGAGAGATGGCTAATATCCTATTGGCTGCGCGCGAAGAAGCTTCTCTATCTACCGTTGGAAAGAATTGGCCATCAACCTTCATTAACCGCCGTCCTGAGCTTCGTACACGCTTCTCACGAAGATATGATTATCAAAGAGCCCTAAATGAAGATCCAAAATCGACTCGGTAGTGGTTCGCGACCGTACAAAGTATAATTAACGAGAATAGTATATAACTAGAGGATATCTACAACTTTGATAAGATAGGCTTTATAATAGGCCTTATATCTTCGCAGAAAGTAGTCACAAGGGCTGAATACTACGGTCGGAGATCTCTTCTACAACCAGGAAATCGCGAATGGGTTACTGCGATCGAAGTAATCTGCGCAGATAGCTATTCACTACCACTATGTGTAGTCTTTAAAGGCAAAGTGGCTATTATAGGATGGTTTAACGAAAACCTACCGATAGACTAGCGAATCGAGGTCTTAAAGAAAAGCTAGACTACCGATAAGATTAGCCTACGCTGGCTAGAAAAGCACTTTATCCCACACACGAATTCGCGCGTACGAGGTCGGTTTCGGCTATTAATTCTTGACGGTCATAGTAGCCACNCTGAGCTTCGTACACGCTTCTCACGAAGATATGATTATCAAAGAGCCCTAAATGAAGATCCAAAATCGATTCGGTAGTGGTTTGCGACCGTACAAAGTATTATTTACGAGAATTGTATATAACTAGATGATATCTACAACTTTGATTAGATAGGCTTTTTAATTGGCCTTATATCTTCGCAGAAAGTAGTCACATGTGCTGAATACTACGGTCGGAGATCTCTTCTACAACCAGGAAATCGCGAATGGGTTACTGCGATCGAAGTAATCTGCGCAGATTGCTATTCACTACCTCTATGTGTAGTCTTTAAAGGCAAAGTGGCTATTTTAGGATGGTTTAACGAAAACCTACCGATAGACTTGCGAATCGAGGTCTTAAAGAATTGCTTGACTACCGATTAGATTTGCCTACGCTGGCTAGAAAAGCACTTTATCCCACACACGAATTCGCGCGTACGAGGTCGGTTTCGGCTATTAATTCTTGACGGTCATAGTAGCCACCTTACGCCCCAATTCGACCGAATCTGTGCAGAAAACGATGTTATACCACTCTGTATGCCTGCACATTCATCGCATCTACTATAGCCACTAGATGTTGGGTGTTTTGCAGTGGTTAAGCGCGCGTACGGTCGGTTCGTTAGCGACCTTGCGCGTAGAGGATATAACCATATCGACAAGCACGATTTTTTAGTGGATTACCAGCACGCGCGGTTAGAAGCCTTCTAATCAACCAATCCCACTATCAAAAACAGCTTCGCAGCTAGTGGTCTAGTACCATTAGATGCCGAGAGAGTGCTTAACAAGCTTAATATCTCTCTACGAACACCAACACCACCAAGCAGCCGTCCAAGCAGCAGATCTAGCCAATTCACACCAAAAACGCCTAGAACCGTCACTCAGCTATTCAAACAAGCTTCAATTCTAAAAGATCTACTAAATCTACTGTCAAATAGCCCTCCAAGCCCATCGAAAACCATCTTAGATCAACTTATCAAGGGCCACTATCTTTCGCTTCACAACACTATATTACTCGCAGAGGATAACGAGAATCTACGCATAGCGAATAAGAAGATAATCAAAAAGCGCAATCGGTCAACTAAGAGGATACCCTGCGCAGAGGGTTTAACCATTTAAGAGGCTATACAGCTAGCTGAGCAGCTAGACCAGCCAGAGGAAGATGATTGGGTAGATTCGCATGCAGAGGTTTATTTGCCTAGTCAGCCAATTATGCCAGCAAAGAGGGCACCACCTAGGTGTAGTTGGTGCAGGGAGATTTGTCACAGGATTAATGTATGTAAAAATCGCTTTATCTAGTTAAATTAATGGTTGTTGGTTGAGATAATAGATTTTGAAGTATTCTGATAGGGGAGGGTGTCTCGGTCGGGCGGGAATTACGTTAAGACTTCCTTCAGGCGGTCAGTGAAGTGGGGCCAGAGGGGTTCCAAATATTACGTAGTCACTGTAACAATACTTATGCTGGCTCAGTTTAATGGGGCGACTCATTTGCAAGGCCGACCCGACCGTAGGTTCACAGGTTTTTGAACATCCAAAGACTGAAACCGATTGATTAACAACAGACAAAGAGCCACACGTTTGAAAAGAACACAGTGCGATGTTCGGCCTCATGCACAAATAGTGTCTATAAGGCTAGAGAATCTCTCGAAGAGTAGGAGGGTCCACCAAATTAGAGACGAAATTTGCAGTTTCAAATTACGCTTCATCCAACTCGTTAATTTGTACTCACTGTGCTCAAATAAATATCGTTCCGGCGATACTACCATTTATTGTTTGGTTGAGTATTAATTCAAATCTCCATTTACAAGAAAAGATGAACAAGAAAATGCGGGAGCTAAATTGTTCATTTCAGCGTTTTCTCGAGTTAAACTGGGTTTTGTCCAACCAAGTACCGTCATACCTTAGCCAAGATATATTTGGTGGACCCGGTGTATATCAATGCGGCCATAGCCACTCCCTCGTTTGTCCCCAGGTTTACATGTCCTTAACAATATGTCGAGAAAGCTCTCAAGATGGGCGCGAAAACTGTTCGGCCTTGAGGCCGTACATATCGTTGTTATTCGACGATCGCGCTGTGGAACCCTACGCTTGTTCCAATCTACCTTTCCTCCACACCGATCAATGGTATGTGAAGCGCTTGACTAGCCGTCTTTAGACTAATTGGGACCAGGATGTTACCCTGAGTTTGGGAGGGGAAGAGGAACATGATGACTTATTGAAGGAAAGCACGTTATCCCATACTCAACTTTGAGATGGAAGTCATGGGACTACACGTTAGCCACAGCTCAAATGGAACTATTGGAAGGCAGGACCTTCTTATGTAGTATTTTCAGCATGTGGCAGCATCTACTATAAAGAACAAGCCCTTTGAGTCAAATACAGCGAATTGGAATCTCGTCAGATTATCAGGGCGGAGTGGATAACGGTGTAATTCGAAAATTTCAGATATTCTACTCGAATTCAATCCCTATGAGAACCGACTATGCTTTGGAGATTGCCATTACTAATTTCGCAGCTAGTGGGGAATCTATTGTCACTACTCGAAGCTGAAGCAGAATGAACTGGAGGATTCGATGGAGATAAATCACCTACAACATGACAGTATTGACGAATCATAATGCAAATTGAGTAAGCTACCATCTAGAGTTGCCATTTCTAACTGGCTTTTTTTGTGATTCGGTTTAGAAGGAACATCTTACAGTTATACCATAGAAGGCACAGGGCATAATGATATCGTATCTGCTTATATGAGGTTCAACCGGGACCAACCTAATGTGTATGGAATTGATTAATTGGGTAACTAGGACAGCGAACCTGTTGTCCTCGCTTACAAAGTGGGATTCAGGTTGGAATGGCCAAATCCACGAATGTTAAACATAACAAGCAAAGTACATACGAAAGTGGAAAATAGCGAACCAATCAGTTCTGGGCGTAATTACAGGGTCCAGTTTTTTGATAGAAGGGGGACATTGGGCGTTTCTGTAGTTTCCACGGAAAATCGTCTCCAGTCTGTTGATTTTGATATTCAGGGCAAGGCAAAGGGTTTTGCAATCTGAAGGAGGGGAATTTATTTTCAATTTGGCCTTATGGGTTTGGTCGGCGTAGGTTTAAAATTAGTAGCTCCAATATTTTAATTGTTCAACGAGGAGAAGACGTGTATGAGATCGGCAAAGTGTGTGCGGAATTCGATTTGCAGCGGTGCACACTGTATATTAATTGTTATTGCAGGCTTGAAACGAGGGATACGGCCCGTGCTAGAGCCTGCGGCAAGACGTGAACCACAGTGCAGATACGGTTGGTGACGCAGGCTACCCAAGGATGAACTGTACTTATAATCCATTTTAGTCCTTAGAAGCTCCTGCGCTTTTGGGGTTCAGCGGGCAGTCAGACCGCGATGCCACCTCAAAGCAAAACGCGATTATACTCTGGCTCAAATTTGTACCCACCTCTCATGAAAGTGAAAATCCAATCAAAAGCAACAAGAGGTTGCGGACTAATCTTTTTCAGATCCACATCAGAGGAACAAACAGTTTCCAAGGGTTCTCCTGCTTGTTGATACAAGTTCAAAATCCTTCAACTTGAGAAACAAAAATCGACGACCATGCTGCAGCTTTGTGTCAAAGACAAAGCTAACTTAGAAGAGCGTCTTCAGCGCATGCATGAGTATGCTAAGGATGTGGAACAGCGCATCAACATGCTTGTCGGGAATTTCACAGAGATGGAATCGAAGTTCGCGAGAGTAGATCGGATATACGTGCGACCCATCGAAGAGCTGATCTGATTTACCAATGAACAAGAATTAACCAATCAAATACTGTATTACTGGCTAGATATCGCTTGCTTTCCATCTATGCTGCTATACGAGAATTTTAAGTGACTTGGCGACGTGTGGATAGCGTACTTTAGTTGACTAAAATAAATCCCGGCCAACGCCACTTTACTTTGACCAAATTAGTTCACTTTCGCTCACTTTTTCTAGCCTCGGAACACGTAGTTAATTGGCAAATATTTGCTTGTGTTTCTGCCCTGCGTTTTGGGCTCTTTTAATCACTTATCTGCGATCTGTCTCCTTGATAATTCCTTCTAACGTTAAACTTCATAGGACAGAAATGACGGCTATCATGGGATCAGTCGAGAAGCAGTAATGTTGCAGATTCCCCTGAAACACAAGGCCTACAGGCAGAGACATCTGTCAGGAGGACAGATAACCCGACCCGCAAGAAGCTTCATGAAAACAGAGTGATCACAAGAGGTGATCAAAAAAGTATAATAGGTGGAGAGAGGAAGTGAGTGAACAGAAGTTGCGCGAAAAAATTGAGCAATGTTAAAGGCCTTTGGTGAGGGGTTAGGGTAAATGAAATACGCACCCACATAGTGTAAGTAAGAGGTGGCGTTTCTCATCAAACTCCATAACAAACAACATCCTGCTAGACAGATATTCCGCCCTTCATGCTCCCGTCTTGATACCTTCGTTTGAATGGACAGGGTATTTTTTGAACCGTGGTTTTGGCTTGTAACACGAGAAACAATTACACTGGATGATTTTGCTCCAATCTACGACTAGTCGAATTCATACAGCGGAAATAATATACGCAAATGACACTGGTGAATGAGGCAGGCAAAACTTGACTGCCCAAAAAGGATCTTCATTTATTGTTTAAAACGTTGCTCAAACGGGGCTCAAAACGTTGCTCAAAACGTTGCTCAAAACGTTGCTCATAAACGTTGCCCAAAACGTTGCTTAAAATGTGCTCAAAACGTTGCTCAAAAGTGGCTCAAAACATGGCTCAAAACATGGCTCAAAACATGGCTCAAAACATGGCTCAAAACGTTGCTCAAAACGTTGCTCAAAACGTTGCTCAAAACGTGGCTCAAAACGTGGCTCAAAACGTTGCTCAAAATTGGCTCAAAACGTTGCTCAAAAGTGGCTCAAAACATGGCTCAAAAGTGGCTCAAAACGTTGCTCAAAACGTTGCTCAAAACGTTGCTCACCCTACTTTTGAAATCCCGTTGGTGAGTTGAAGTGGTAGCTTAGCATAATGAATGACTAACAATTCATCGACCTATTTCTTGGGTCCCTGGGCCGTGCAATTATTTTCGCGTCACATCACCTTCATTCCGGCGAGGCAAAAAGCTTCCGATCTTAGGGGGGGAAAGATTTCCTCTCCAAGGTCGCGGAATTATAAATTTGCGAACCTAAAATTGCAGATAAGTCTGATTAATTTTCAGCGGAAATCAAATGTTGGATTTTTCTTTGCGCTCCGTCTAAATCTGCAATTGGAGTCCGACCAGACAGCTTTTCCCAGAACGTTCTGAACCAGAACCCCGAATTCCTTTCCATTGTGACCCACGCGGATAACCAAATACCGGTTCCGCCGTTAAACGAATTTAATAGTTTTGAACAACATTTTTAAACCAACACAATTAAAACCACAGTTTCCCCTCTCAATATTTGCCTGTAACTTTGGCTCTCTGATATTCTCTTGCTTCTTGCTCTGGAAATTTCTCTTTCACTCCCCTTTCTGCATTTTCGTCCGCTATGCCAAGGGTCCCCGCAGTGTCCGCCCCGAATCGGGTTGTTCGAACGTCGCCGGCGTCCGGCCAGACCTCCACGCGAGCACTTCGACCTTTGCGCACTGGAATCGACCACGTGCCCCATTATGTCTCTAAGAGTACTAAGATGCGACCGACGGTAAGCGTTGCATAATTACATGCTAATATGAGGTAGAAATAACTAATTTTGTTGCTTGTACGTAGGCTCCAGCCACGATGCCTCTCAAAATGACATTAAGGAACGAGACGAACGCAGATTTTGAGATCGTCCATGAAAACTGCACCAAAATGATCAAGTCGGCCGAAGAACGGCGTCAGCGACTTACGGCACGCCTCACTGAGCAGCAGCGGGAAGCTTCCGAGGCCGAGCAGCGGTTTGGCACCGAACGGGCGCAGCTAAATGCTAAGGTTCGGCAAATCACCTTAGAAAAACAGAAAGCTATTGAGGAAGTGCGAAAACTGAGAGAAGAAAACGTGGTCTTGCAACAACGCCTGGATGCCGTCAGTTCGGATTGCCAGAATCATGCCACGCGGGACGAACTCCACATGACCTTAAAGGAACTGCATAGCCTCTCGTCGACGGTGACAGACAAGATTGCTTCAAAAATAAACGAGTCCCAAGAGTCTCAATACGCGTACTTCGGCACCTGCTTACCCGGACCTGATGTGGCTCAAGACTCGTGGACCGCGCAGACGGGCCAATTTACTATAGCGGAGAATCCTATTTTACCGGAGGGCACGGGGCGACTGTTTAATGCATCGAACCCTCAAAACCTCCCTGACTTTGACGCATACGGAACGATCCCTGGCAGTATGGGTTGACATTGAGCGTCAAGCAGTCTGTTGTTATCCCTAGTATCATTATTCTTAAGCCGCGATGAATTTGAAATACCTGTGAGGGGTACCTACTAAGCTTTCAAATACTCCGCAGACAAAATTTCTATCATTCAAATTTCTTATCGTAAAGCAAACGCAGTATACCGTGGGATCAGATTGAGGCTAAGGTGTCGGTTGAAGCCGACACCTGTCGCCAAGAAAATTGGGATGTCAGCTTGGCTCTCCTGGGAAACGCTCAAATTTTTGTAGCACCTGACATGTTGTTGTTCCTATAACTGAGACGATCGGAGTGTAAGACATACTATGCCAATCAGTGGCTGGATAGCAGATTGGCCAAAACCATCGTATTCCTGGTTTACATACGTTACTGTGCCTGGACATGCTGTTCTAATGGACCCTCCATGCACCTCGCACCAGCATGCTAGTCGTGTCCCATCAACTACCTATGGGTCAGGGTGACCTCGTGACTTTCAAGAAGACCGGTCCTATCCCATCTGGAGGTCTCCAGTGCCAAGGTCACATTAAGGGCGGAGGGAACATTCCGGTGCGGCCGATACGTTGGCCACCATAGCGGGCTTAATAAGAACTTTGGCCCAGTGCTACAGCAATCCGAGCTAGAGAGCGGACTTTAGCGGTCATCTGGAGGGATCAACCTAGGACCGTGGATTTTATGATACATTAGTCGTAAGGTAGGCCAGTAGAGAGCAGTGAATCACTATTTGTAATGCCGGCTAAAGCAGAGCTGGGATCGAATTTGGTGAATCTTTGATGGTGGGTTTGGTGGGGTAGTTTTAAAGTCCCCGGGGAACTCCGGCGCTAATCAGGATGGAAGGCAATCGAGAAACAACCGGAAATGGCAGGCATCCCGAGGTTAGATCTACACATATAAATCTTGAGTGGTTGAAAAAAGGGCCTTTTAACGCTAGTGAAGGGCGGGTTAACGTTCGAACACTTGCAGATCTTTCCAAATGCAACTCCTCGGCAGGATTCCCCTAGGCGCTCCACTAGCTCGTTCCTCCTGCTTATTAGCCGCATCTCTAACCAGACATCGTATTCGAAATTACCACGCCAAAAAAAACTCAGGTTCCATATACAAAAGGTAACTAACAGGCCTTGGGAAATACTAACTTACAGAGAACACGAAGTTGGTGTATAGGTTTGTGTCCGAATCAGAGCTTGATGAGAGTGCTATGCGTAGCGCTATGACAGACCTCGGACCTGTCTACGCTGTCTCCGGGTCTGGAAACATTTGTTCGACAACCGAGGGGCTTTCGTGATTCGGCCATGGAAAATGGCCTGGTGGGAGAGGTAACTTCCGCGAGAATTGCCTCATTTGGGGCTGTGGCATTTCCTTGCGGAGAAAAGACGGATTACACTATTGCAGATTTGGTAGGAGGGGCAAAATTACTAGTCGTATATTTAAAGTTGCGACCCGATCTTGCCCAGCGATTTATGGTCCGAGCGCAATGATAGCCCCACGGCGAAGCCGAAAACTAAGGAACGAGCCAACCTACCTACAGAGGTTTTCAAAAAGTAATTAATCTAAGTACGAAAGACGAGACCTGCCGGAAATCTGGCATAATCAGATTGCTCAACCCCCAAGTTATAGGAAGGACGGATCTAGAGACCGGACGGAAGAAGGCGTTCTCCATAAAGCAGTGAATAAGACGAAGCTCCTTATAGAACGTATCGGGCGAATGATCCTGAATGTCGGTATGGGTCCTAGAGAAACCTGCGCCAACCTAAGCACCCCATCGTCCGTGATAATTTTTTATAATATAGTAACCGTCATAATCCGACACCTATCCGTTTTAGGATGACAGCAGTGATAACCTAACCTGGACACTCAACGGCACCTCTGGTTTACTGGCACCTATATTGCAAGCTCTAAGCCTCTCATGTCGGCGTCAGAGGGAGAAGGACTCAATGTTCCCCGTTATAAGAGCCCTTGTAGGTGTGTAGTCAACTGGTTATCCCATGGTTAGCGAAGCCGTTTGATGCTTTGGGACAAAGCGGTACAGTTGTAATTGAGCCATTTTGTAAAATATACGTCGCTATGAATCACTTGTCAATGAGGTCCCTATAGCTCTCTGCGACAAGAGATGATCCTACCTGCTTGGATATAGATATAGAGCATCCCAAAATAATATGTAGATACAGTTCCAATCATACTAGCCTAAGAAGAGCTTAGGTGGCTGGTAGAGTATCTTTAGGAACCTGCTGCGCACCAATATCATTCAATTATCATCTTTGACTATAAGCACATTCAATAATAGCTCCATCAAATCCATCATCAAAGATGGCACCCCTTCACTGCGTGGATCTCTTCGGGCGTCCTGGCCTCCGCTCCACCGCGCAGCTTCTGGCCATAGATAAGGCGGCAACCTGTTCTTGCAACGTGTTTATGGTCATCTTGAGGGTTTGAACCTCGTCGTACTCATGTACCATAGTCTCTATGCTTTGCTGCATACTCTCATTCCAAGCATTTTGTTCCAGGAACTGTTTTTCCAAACCCCTAAAAGAATATCAGCATACAGATATAAAACGGCCGGAGGCCTTGTTCTTAGTGAGATCAGATCACCTAACTCGACTATCCAGGCTAGAGTAACTGTTAGTATTCATCACTTATGTCGTGGAGTGGACGAACCAACGCACTCGGTAAAAACCTTGCTTACAAGTCTGGGGTCTGACAAACTATCCTCCAGGCTTGTCCCATTCCCGCCATGAATGACACTGAGCGTTCCCATTGTTAAGTCTTCCTCTTCTACTAGTTCCTGGATATCTTCGTCCATTGTATCCTGGTGTTCCTCCGCAAATGACTGTTCCTCTGCGTATTCAAAAGCACAGTTGTCGTCCGGGGATGCCGCAGCCGACTCAGACCTATCATAGCTAACGGAAGGCCTACTAGGCTTTGGAGGGAACATTTGTAGCCACTCAGTGTAGAGACCAATAGAGGTTTCATCGTGCTCCGTGATATGTGTAATAACCATAATGGGATCTTCTCGATAAGTGGACGAGGTTCGGCGCGCTGTGGTGGGTAAGGCAGAAATACGGAGGATGGGCCCGGCGAATATATATACAGAAAGTATATAAGCTCAGGCGAGCGCGTATAATACAGCGTGGTACCGTTCTGTACTTCTTGGATATGCCGCAGGAAAATATCCAACAAAAGTACTATTGTGGATTACCTAGTTGCGGGGCTTACACTAAGGGTATCTAGAACGTGCAACCGACTTAGGAGGTGTGGTGCTTTACATAGACTCTTCAACTAGTGCAATCGAGCTCTTCGTGGATAGGAGAACTGGAACGTAAATAAAATACATCTTTGCTCGGGGTCAGGGAGGCGTAATATTGGAGGCCGGTTCTACGGTTATGCTCACACATGGGAGGCTATAAATTAAAGAGACTGAATATATTGTTCGCTCAGTAACCACAAATTAAATATTATCTGTATTCCTCTACTATTGACTGCAGGTGGCTAATTGGGGAAAGAACTAAGAAACGAAAAGATGTTCAAATGTTCAATTGGTGACTTTGGTTTTTTGCCGTATTAAAAGCTAGATTGTGCAAAATCATCGATACCAAATAATGTCCGCCTCGTTATTCAATTGAACCAGTGAATTAAGGGGCTA